TGAGTGTATAGCTATCGTATGAACCAGGATAAAGGTAATCGGTGAAGATCTTCCTTATTTTTTAATTTGGGTTTTGTAAAAAATCGGCGATTTTCCAAAAATATTTTTTCAAAGGTCCACCATTTTGTTAATTTTAGAGCGAAGTCAATAATCCTAGTTCATACGAGAGCCAGACATGTACTCTTTCTAACACCGTTGGAGCCGTTGGATTCCGATGTTCCAGTGAGGAGTTATCATGCCCACCATCAAAAATAATTACTTTTCTTTAATTACAAAAAACAACAACAACAAAATAACAAAAATTGTATGTAAATTATTTTTCTTCTATTTTAAATCTTCAATTATATATGTGTAAAGTTTCAAACCTTAACAAGCATAGGTTTTGATTTACCAGCCCATTGAAAATCTTGAAAAATTAATATAATATGTACAACATATTATAGCCTAAATCAAGTCCGAAGTTGGGACCCGTCTGCCTTCTCCTCTGGCAGACAAACGTACATTTGAAAATCGACTTCAAATTTGGTCCACAGGAACACGGTTTATATATATTTTGGTATTTCGATTTCTTGGAGGAAAGGGAGACCACGTTTTGGTATGGCGCTTATATATAGAGGTCCGGCCCTACTTCCGGTATTTCGAAGGACTTTGTTGTATTGTGTTTTTGTTATTTTATTTATTTATTCTTTTATATCTCCATATATAGGTCCCTCCATGTTTTCGGTATTCTAAAGGTTTTAAGCCACATTTCAACACCGACGGGACGTAATTTGGCATTTCGGTTTCGTGGAGGAGGGGAAAAAATATTTTTAGAAATTTCTCGATACAGGTCTATGTTTTAGTACAGCTCTCGTGTAAAGGCTCGTCTGGCTTTGTTGGTATTTTGAAGATTTTAGTCGCATTTTCAAATGATGGGGCTGTAATAGGGCATTCCGTGTCTTTGAAAGCGATAATACATCTTCGCGGGAGTTTTTCTTTCGGTATAGACTTCAAGGACCTGCCTATTTTTCGGAATTTAGAAAATTTTAGCTGCATCTTTCGCACAGATGAGACTCTACATTTACATTCTGGGTTCTTGGAGGTTGAAAAGTAACATTACCGACATTTTTCGATGTAATTTTTTTTTTTACTTGGATTTGTGTAAAAAATCGGCCATTTTGTTAATTTTAGAGCGAAGTCAATCATCTTAGTTCATACGAGAGCCAGACATGTACTCTTTCTAACACCGTTGGAATTTTCGGATTCCGATGTTCCAGTGAGGAGTTATCATGCCCGCCATCAAAAATAAGGACTTTTCTTTAATTACAAAAAACAACAACAACAAAATAACAAAAATTTTATGTAAATTATTTTTCTTCTATTTTAAATCTTCAATTATATATGTGTAAAGTTTCAAACCTTAACAAGCATAGGTTTTGATTTACCAGCCCATTGAAAATCTTGAAAATTAAAATCGAGAAGGGGGTGGGTTCCCTTAAACAACATTTTGTACAACATATTATATTTACCAAGCCAAGATCAAGCTTGTAGATGGGACCCATTGGTCTACTCCTTCTGGTACATCCCCACAAAGGGTAAAAATTTTCATTATTTATAAATCCAATATCAGGCTAATGGAATGTTCGATTTTAACTAAACTTTTCACAACCTATTATTTTTACAAAGCCTAAATCAAGTCCGCAGTTGGGAACCGTCTGCCTTCTCCTCTGCCAGACAAACGTACATTTGAAAATCGACTTCAAATTTAATTCAAAGGAACAGGGTTTATATATCTATTTTGGTATTTCGATTTCTTGGTGGAAAGGAAGACCACGTTTTGGTATAGCGCTTATATATAGAGGTCCGGCCCTACTTTTGGTATTTCGAAGGACTTTGTTGTATTGTGTTTTTGTTATTTTGCTTATTTATTTATTCTTTTATATCTCCATATATAGGTCCCTCCATGCTTTCGGTATTCTAAAGGTTTTAAGCCACATTTCAACACCGACGTGACGTAATTTGGCATTTCGGTTTCGTGGACGAAGAGAAAAATCTTTGCAGACATTTCTCGATACAGGTCTATGTTTTAGTACAGCTCTCGTGTAAATGCTCGTCTGCCTTTTTTGGTATTTTGAAGATTTTAGTCCCATTTTCAACTTATGGGGCTGTAATAGGGCATTCCGTGTCTTTGAAAGCGATAAAACATCTTAGCGGATGTATTCCTTTCGGTATAGCCTTCTTTTTAAGGACCTGCCTCTTTTTCGGGATTTAGAAAATTTTAGCTGCATCTTTCGCACAGATGAGACTCTACATTTACTTTCTGGGTTCTTGGAGGTTGAAAAGTAACTTTACAGACATTTTTCGATGTACGTCCCTGTTTTGGCTTAGCCCCCATATAAAGGGCTCCCAAAGGAGTACAGGAAAAAAAATATACAATGGTTAAGCCTCATTTCCCATCGAAATGGCTGTATTTAAATTTGAATAAAAAATAATTTGAATAAAACATAATTCCAGAAAATATTCGATATAGGTCCACGTTTTGGTATGATCCCCATATAAAGATCCCGACGCCCATTCAGTGTATTTATGATTAATCCGCACGTTGAAACCGCATTCAGGATTTTTTGAGAGCGAAAAGCATATTTGTAGAAAATGTTTGATTTTTAATTCTGGGTTCTTGGAGGTTGAAAAGTAACTTTACAGACATTTTTCGATGGCTTAGCCTCCATATAAAGGGCTCCCAAAGGAGTAAGGAGTAAAAATATAAAATGTTTGAGCCTCATTTCCCACCGAAACGGCTGTAATTAAGCATCCCAGGTTCTTTGAATAAAACATATTTGCAGAAAATATTCGATATAGGTCCACGTTTTGTTATGGTCCCCATATAAAGGTCCCGACGCCTATTCAGTGTATTTATGATTAATCCGCACTTCGAAACCGCATTCTGAATTATTTGAGAGCAAAAAGCATATTTGCAGAAAATTTTCGATTTTTAAGATTTTAATGACACTTTCCAACCGATGGGGCTGTAATTGGGCGGGAGTTCCGAAAAATCCATTTTTTTTTTGCTTGTTGAAACTTTTTGCCGCTTCTTCCGCACCGATGAGACTCCAAAATGGCATTCTGGGTTCTTGGAGGGTGAAAAATAACGATGCGAGAAATTGTCGATACACGTCCATATTTTATTAAGCTCCCATATAAAGGAAGTATGCTTATGCTTCGAATAGGACTAACATACAAAAATATATAAAGGTACAGTTCTAGTTTCCGGCGAAGGGGCTATAATTAAGCATCCCAGATTCTTTGAATAAACATATTTGCAGAAAAAATCGATAAAGCCCTACGCTTTGTTATAATTCCCATATAATAGTACGTTTACATTTAATCGGATTTCGTTAACCCAGTGGGTTTCAATTGTCATTTCCTTTGCATATACGTCAAATAAATTCTCATAAAGTAGGTTAACCCGGTAAAAAGTTGTAATGTACAAGGAGTTTAATACGGCATTTACATTAGAACTTTTTACCGGGTTAACCTACTTTATGAGGATTTATTTGGCATATATTCAAAGGAATTGAACATTTAAACCCACTGGGTTAACCAAATCCGGTTAAATGTAAACGACCTTTAGGGGCCCGCTTTTTCGACATGTTTATTTTTCGGTATTTTGAAGATTTAAATCGCATTTTTCAACGGAAGTTGCTGAATTTCGGTCACATCGAAGGAGAGAAAGATATTTGCAGAGAATTTGCGACATATGTCTATGACTTGGAATACAATGTAACCGAATTAAAAATAAATTGACGATTTCAGCTGATTATTCACCCAAGTTGGTGTAATTTTTCATTCCGAATTATGAAAGGATGCGAAAACATATACATATTTTGATATAGGTCCATGTTTTGAAATCACCCACATACAAAGGCCCTCTTTAATTTTTTGGTATTTTAAAGTTTTGGATTCAAAAACGAATTTCTTGTGAAAAAAAAATCCGGAAATTTTGAATGGCCCCTTACGAATATCCCGCTTCATTATCGGTGGTATATTAATTTCGGTCCAGCCGAACATAACAACATTTTTACTTGATTTCTAATAAATCCATTTACATCAATCAAATTCTTTAAAACTCTTAATGCACCTAACTAAGAACAACATTTCATCTTTCTTTACAGATATTCAGCAAAAAAAAATATGAAACAACCCCCAAGCTCAACAATGAAGAGTCCCAGCCGATGGATTTTACCAAAACCACAATCAATTAAAAAACAAATCAAATGAAAAAACAAACGATGAGATAACAAATTGCAGAACTGAAAACTGTTTCTGAGCAAAATGACAACAAAACTGAAGTTTATTCTTTGACAAAAAACAACAACAAGAAGAAATTATCGAAATACAACAAATTAATACAAACAAAAGTGTTGCAATCGGACGGCAATGATCAGAACGATATAAATATTTTGGCCTACAAGTGTGTCGTTAACGAGTGGAACAATTTCAAAAAAATAAAACAAATTAAAAGAAACTGCAAAATCTAATTTTTAATAGAAAAGAAAAACAAACCAAACACCCTGTGATATAAATAAATTGCACTAAAAAAAATCATCTCTAGCTGATAAGTTAAACATAAACCAACAGTCAACTAAATTAAACCTCCAATGCGCTAATTTAACTCTTAAGATTTTGCTCTAATTCTATGCATAATTTTTTCTCAAAACTCCTGCAAACACAAAGAAAACCAGAAGCCAAGCTAAAATAAGTAACCTTTCGCCTCAAACTAAACGATAATCTATTGTTAAACGCGCTCACCAAAAGCTAACTAAGAAAATAAACAAACTAAACTAACGCTTACTAAATTTATTAAACCAAAACAACAACAACAAAAACAAACAAGCATTTTTTTTCAAAACAAAATTAAGTAAATCTAGAAAAACAAAAAAATACTAGACTAAGAACAAATTATTATAATTATTATTAATTAAATAAGAATAGGAGGAAAAAAATATTAGCATTACTAACTAAGCAAACAAAAAACACAACAAAAACATGGCTGATGAACTGGAAATTCGTACCCTGCGCGAGAAACTGCTCTTCTACACGACTGCCTTTTTCATACTGCTTGGTACCTTCAGCATGTTCGCCTTCCTCTTTTTGGTGCCGTTCGTCATAGAGCCTGCCTTCACCACCATATTTATGCAATTCGACGAAGTGCCCGCCCTGTGTGAAACTTCATCGACAATAACGCGCTTCGGGGCCCGCAACTGCAGTTGGTCGTCCTGCCGCGAGGGCTGTACGCGTGAGATTTTCGAATGCACCCAGATTATGGTGAACTATCGCCTGAATTTGTACAACTATACGGATGAGTTCAATTTCACCGAATATCACATCAATCTGAAGGAGGCCGAAAGAGTAATTCCGCCCAAAAAGCGTACCGATCGCTATACAAGAGCCATACGTGACTACGAGTATGATTTGGGTCCGCACGATCCCATGGCAGCGGCCATGGATGATGAGGGTGGTGGCGCGGGCGGTGGCGGCATGGTTATGGAACATTTGCATTTTGGCGATGAGGATGGTTCTAATGGTTTCCTTATAGAAGATTCCGGCCTGGATACGGACAATACACTGATCAGTGCCGATGGCAGTGATGTCTTTGAGGAAATCTCCGAGCTGAACAGGGGCCTTATGAGCGGCAATGATAGTAAATATTTTTTCGTTGGCGCCCACCTCTATCCGAATGTAAAGGGATGCGGCTATCCGCCCGTGCTCAATTGCACCATCTGGTTTAAGCGTTACACAAAGCTGGGCGTTAAATTTCCCTGCTACTATTCCAAAGTGGATCCTAGTGTGGTCATCAGCGAGCTGGACTACTGGCAGAATACGCTGAATCTAATCTACTCCATTGCGATTCCAGTTCCCTCCTTTATAATATCTGTGATCTATTTGACATATGCCTACTTCAAAATCTACAATGAAGACGAGGAGACAGCACCGTTGGATAAGAATGCCGAGGATATGGACATCGATGATGAGGGTGTGGACGACAGTGATGGTGCAGCATTGGCGGACAATGCGGCCGGCAGTCAAGTGATAAATATGCACGATTCGACAACGGGAGAAAGTTGTATTGTGGATGGCATTCTGCCAAACGGTGGTCCCGGCATGACAAATTCAATATCACAACCCGGTTCGGTGACCACACCCGGCCAATATCGTGTTCATACACCCGGTTCGGTAATGACACCGAATTCCGATATGCATTCATTCGGCCATCAATTGAAAGTCCAGATGGCCGATGATTTTTCAAGAGATTCATTGGAAAATGGTATCCTGTCGACATCGAATTCGGTGCAAGGGTAAGTGATGGAAGTTGTTGGTTGTATTGTTGTTTTTTTATTTGTATTTTTTGGGTTATATGTATATTTTTTTGTTGTTTTATTGAATATAGGGTTATCCAATTTTCGAAGAAACTAAATTGACAAAATGGAATATTGACATCGATGGAAAATTAACAAATTGTTGGGCCTAGGAAAATACATTTTTGGAAAATCGCCTATTTTCGGAAAAAATGGAATCTGGAAGCGCTCTTCCTATTGCTTAAAGCTTGCACAATAAATCCGATACATCTTTAAGAGTTGTTGAGATTTTTCACTTGAAATTTTAATGAGACAATCATAAGAAGTTATAGTTAAAATATCGATTTCTTATTTTTGAAGACCTCACCTAAAAAAGGTGAAAAGGTTCTTCCTATGGAAGAACTGCTCCTATTCAACTGCCTGTGAAAGAGCTGCAGGTTTCCTCTTCCAGTGGAAGAGCTGCAGGAGTCTTCTTCCTATGGAAGAACTGCACGTATTCTTCTTCCTATAGGAGAGCTGCATGCAATTTTCTTGCTATAAGAATGCTGGGGACGAACTTCAGGTATTCTTCTTCCTGTGGAAGACCTGTGGGTATTCTTCTTCCTATGGAAGAACTGCAGGCATTCTTCTTTCTGTGGAAGAGCTGCACATATTCTTCTTCCTATGGACGAGCTGCAGGTATTCTTCTTCCTATGCAAGAGCTGCAGGTATCCTTCTTCCTATGCAAGAGCTGCATTCAATTTTCTTCCTACAGGAATGATGGAGGTATTATTCTTCCTATATGAGAGATGGATGTCTTCTTCTTCCTAAGTGCTGCAGATATTCTGTGGAAGATCTGCAGGTATTCTTCTTCCTATGGAAGAGTTGCAGGTATTCTTCTTCCTGTGCAAGAGCTGCATTCAATTTTCTCCCTATGCAAGAGCTGCAGATATTCTTCTTCCTATGCAAGAGCTACAGGTATTAGTCTTCCTTTGAAAGAGTTGCACGAATTCCTCTTCCTGTGGAAGAGCTTCAGGTATTCTTCTTCCTGTGGAAGCGCTGCAGGTATTCTTCTTACTGGGGAAGATCTGCAGGTATTCTTTTTTCTATGAATGACCTGGAGGTATTCTTCTTCCTGGAGAAGAGCTGCAGGCATTCTTCTTCCTATGCAAGAGCTGCAGGTATTACTTTTCCTTTAAATGAATTGCACGAATTCCTCTTACTGTAAAATATTTGAATGATTAAATGTTCTACAGAAAATTTCTCATTCGATTTTCCTTCTGGATAGGATACAAAAGAGATTCTTATCGCAGGAAAAAACTTGAGGTCTTTTTATCAAAGACTGAGGTTCTTCATATCACGAACCTGATATGAAGAACTCGAAGACTTGACGTCTTTTTATCAAAGACTGAAGTTCTTCATATCATGAACCTGATATGAAGAACTCGAAGACTTGGGGTCTTTTTATAGAACAGCTTTGTCTCTTCTCATAAAAAAGCATGATCTCTTCTTATTGAAGATCTGAAGCTCTTATTATCGCAGACCGGGAGGTCATTTCATAGAAGAGCTGGAGGTCTTCTTAGGGAAGAGCTTGAGCTCTTCTTTTGAATACGTGGAGGTCTTCTTGTCGACGACCTGGAACTCTTCTTAACGAAGGCCTTATAGGTTTTCTTATATCAGACCTGTAACTTTTTAACAACATTCTACATATCGAATGTTGTTAAAAGGCACAGAATAGACCTGCTGGAGGTATCCAGGGAAGACCTAGAGCTCTTCTTATCGGAGACGTGTAGGTCTTTTTATCAACGACCTGGAGCTCTTCTTATCGAAGACGTGGAGGCCTTGTTATCGAAAACGTGGAGGTCTTCTTATCGAAGACGTGGAGGCCTTCTTAAAGAAGGCCTGGAGGTTTTCTTATAGAAGACCTTGAGACGAGTTAAGTGAGTTATGAAAGCCACATCCTGTGAACGCGCTATATCAGCCCAGACGTCTTTCGGAATTTCCATAAGGCGAGATCCCAAACTCATCTGTCACACAACCGTTCGAAAATCGTCACCATACTTCAAAGAACTATTCCAGGTCTCGGCCACGAAGACCAACAGGAGCGAAGTCGAGTTTTCAAGTGGAGAGACTAATAGAGAGCCCAGCAGCAGGCGCCTTGCAATAATGCAGATTAATCTGCACAATTCTTAGAATTTCCTGCCTGCTGTAATTTTCTGTTCTGGTTGTAAGCATAGGGGTGACTACAGCACTTCTCTCCCTTCTTCGAAAATGTGTTAAGAATTAGATTCCTCACGTTCTGATGTGCAACTAACCTCAGTATTATATGGTTAAACTTTTCAAAATTATAAAAATCGAATACAATTCCAATTATTAGTTTCGGCGGCAGATCAACAATTTTGCATTTTATGTAGCAAAAATTATATATATACCTCCCATTGGATAACCCTATAATTATATGTCCAGAATTTAAGTGCACTACTTTTAATGATTTCATAATAATTTTGACAAATATTTTTTTCTATACAGAATCAAGTCCTCAGAATCTGAACATCTTGTTATTACTATTTATTTACCTATTATTTTTGTACGTTGTTTTTAGTTCCTTACACTTTATTACACCCAGCGATACATACACGCCCACTCAGAAAACAAAACATTCAATCACAATCTGATAAATAATTCTGACCATTATTCATCAAACAATTACGTCCTCTTTGACAAATTAGCCCCAAGCTGGAGATTATAATAAATTTAAATTATGTTTCATTAGTTTCAGAATTCACTTCGTAGCAAAATTTCAAATTAAAATCCAAAAAAAAAAAATGTGTATATATGTACGATATACGATGACAAGTTCCAGAATCTGAGAATTTTCTTATAGGAAAAAATGATTTCTATTCAATAAAATATCAAACAGATTCTGTTTTACTGTTTCGCGGTCATCCAATTGTAGACTAGGTTTTTTGAAATGTTTTAAAATCGATTTTTCTTTTTGACGTATTTAATATGATCCTAAAAAGTATGAAATCAAATGTTCTTTAAATGTAGACCTTTACCTTAGATGGCGCCCAATGGTTCCCGCATTGCTACCGAAGGCTCCCAATAGTTATTAAATAGAATAGAAACATGCGATTTGACATTCTAATGAAATATATTTCTATAAAACAATCAATTGGTTATCAATTGGTTTTATATAGACTAAAACATCGTACTAAGAACAGGCTATAAACCCAATTGTTATAGTAAGACCTCTATTTATTATATCATAGAATAGGCCCTCTGACTATAGAATAAATGACAGACTTTACAGACCAGACCAGTGGCTGCGGTTGTGACAGTCCACAACAACAGCTTTCCAATAATATAGACCCATTACATCCTGCAATGTCCGTACCACACCTTATATACCGGAGAATTAGCTCGCTATTAGAAGGAAATAACTATCCTACAAAACGAGAATGGTAAATTATGTCCCTACTAGAACTAGTGATAATACAACAGTTCGCCAGTCAGATAAAATATGAACCTGAGCTTCGTCGTACATCAACAAACACTTGGTCCCTCAGTGATTTCAGTGATTAGAGATAATGCCAAAATTCGCTGGAATCATCGGTCTTGATTCAACCTAGCAACCCTTGTCTTTGTAAATAGACCACCAGAACCATGAAAAGGCTGATTACCGCTTGAGAAAACACACTAACTCCTGACATCAACGAATAACTGAGGAGAATTTCCTAGACATAATCACCGAAGCATCCACCAAACTTCCAATTTGAGAGCATACAGAACCTATGTCATAACACACCTGTTGGCCTTAGGGTAAAAGAAGTTAGTCCAAAGCTGTTGTGAGCAATGGTTATCCCAATTCAAAAACAAGTACAATGCACTAGTCACGTTTCTGCAGTAGCAACACCGCTAGTGGCAAACAACTGGCAGCAACATCGATGAACACGGAACACAAACAATTAAAATGCTGTCCTCACGGACTCCACCCAAAAGACCGCGCCAACAGCACCGAAGTACTGTTCCAATTTGAGAGTTTACAGAAGGCAGCTGGATCTACAGATCCAGGGGTACCGCCGAGGCACGGATAACCTCCGATAAGGCTCGAGACCGAAACCTCTTCCAGTTTGACACAAGTTCGGGCCGCTATCCCAATTGAAAAACATACGACACAATGCACTTACCATACCACGTTTCCGCAGCAGCAACACCGCTAGTGGCAACACAACACAAACGCTTCTCCAGCAAAAAGCTACTACCAACAACATGCAGGCTCTCCACAATGGAACAATTGCTGAAAGGGGATACAATGCTAAAGTGGCCACCAACATCACACGATATTGGTAGCCACCATGCATCTCACCCCTCCCAACAATTACCCCCACAACACAACACAAACGCTTCTCGAGCAAAACTACTTAAACAAATAAGGGTCCGATCGTCTTCAAGAACTCTACTGACATCACACCCCGCCCCTCCATTCGATGTACCCATTTCTGCTAAATCTCTAATGCACTAATGCACATAATAGTACGAAAGCGGTGATTGCCAAACACGTTTTCTCTTTGTCTCTCTTTGCGTCAGTCATTTTTGTTGATGATCTCTCAGTTACGCTCTCACGCACTCACTCGTAATGTAGTTCTGTTCAACACTGCTCTAATATCTTCATAGTAACAGTATATGCTTCCAGTCTTCAGTCATCCCACACCCACATAAATCCGTCTGGGACAGGCCTTTTCTATGCAAAAACGCAGTAAGAGAAGCATGTTCTGTCAGTAAGAAATCAGTCAGTTTCCAAAGCGAAAGTCTGGCCGGTCCAGTGCGAACGTAGCGTTACGAATAAATGCGTACGTCACCTAGTCCTCCACCTATCAACAACATACTTCCGAAGGATAGCGCTGTACCGCCTAGTATCCCCATCCACAAGATTATTAAGTTTATACTTTATAGCCCTAAATCTCATCTCAAGATCAAGCCGCACGGCGCCAGGCAATCTTAGAAGTACGATTGCAATAATCATCGGATAGCTGAGTGAAATTTCGGAGACATCATCACTACTGTATCCACTAAACTTCCCAAAAGTAGAAGCTTTTTATCTGAACTCGTAAATTGTGGACTATAGTCAATTTAAAAGAAATGAAAGGAAAATGACAAAAACTCTTGAGAGAATTAAACACTCTCCTAGATATCCGAGTTGCTGAGACAAATTTTCGGAAGGATCCCAAAATTTACGAAAGATCCCACTCGTAATACTGAAACATTCAAAGCGTTAGATGTGGACGGAATCTAAATAGATTTCCTTAGCGAACCAAATTGTTCCCCAAATCCTAGAATTTAGACTAAAGGATGCCTCCGGTTGTAAGGTATAAAAAGAAATGAAGCCGAAAATGAAGTGCAATAGGACAGTTCGATAGTTTATAGTTTCCTAAAATAATCCATAATATACCTTCTTGTTTTCAATAAATAACTCCAATGGAAATTTTATATAAAGAACAAAATTCCTTTGAAAAAAAAGTAACCCTAGTCTAATTGAAAAATCGATTTTCCCCAAAACCCATGTTGGACTTCAAACGAACTAGTAGTTCCCTTGAAAAAGTATTCAGACTCTGAACAAAAAAAAAATCAATATTAAAAACAATAGAAATGAGAAGAGACCTTAAAATACTGGAACATTTCTTTTTTGAGTACAAACAATAAGTAATAATAATAATTATTAAATTCCTTTACCTCTTTTTTTCTAACAACGTCCTACTCTTTTTCTTCTCTATCTTGAATGTGTTTTTCGTTTGTTTTGTTTTAGCGTAAGAAGATGCTCTTAGTCTACAATGCCTTGGGGTTCATCTCCAACAGAGGACACGACCTTAACCATACCTAGTCACAAGCACAACTATCACCCCGACCACAGCCACCACGACCACTAAAACTAAATCACAAAAAAAAAAATAAAACTCCCCCTGCCCCAATACAAACAAAATATGTGTATATTTTATACTGATCAACAACTCCTTCTCCCCCAATTGCAACATGACCTGCCCCACAACCCTTGTAAATTTGCACATTCATTTGACCACAATCAAATGTATCCCCCTCCGCCCCCTTTCCCACGCCATTTTGAAATTGACTATCTGATCCTTTGCTCTTACAGGAATCTAAGTAAAACAATGACGACGAGCATTTCAACTCCGCCCGGCCCTGTGGCGGCCGTATAAAACAGAGATCACCTCCTGGCCAACCAGAGGATGAAATTGCTAAACCAATGTGGCAACGGCGCCAACAACCACAACAACAATGCAGACAATGATGATGACTGGTGTTATATTAATAATAATTCGAATATTATTAAAAATAACGGTTTAAATAAAACAGCAACAGCAGAAGCAACAACAAGAAACACTTCTTTTTGGAACAAAATCCATAAATGGATTAAAAAGATAAAACCCAACTTGTGGTTTAAAAAGAAACTCAAATACTCTAGAATAGATCAAGATATGCAATAAAAATCTAAGCAAAACAAAACAAGTCCAATTCAAATATTCCGATAATTCATACGCTCATTTATCCCATTGCCATTCACCAAAAAAAAATCAATCTCACAAAAGAAAACAAAAAAATAAAATAAACGAAAGACACACATTTCCTCAATAGTTAGATAAAGATAAAAGCCATATAAAATTAGTATAAACAAAGAAACTATTCCGATTGAAAAAAATGAAAATATTTTTTTTTGTTTTTTGTAATTTTGAATCAAACTTATATAAAATTATAATGCATTTTTTTTATTTTGCAAAACAGAAAGAAATAATAATTTTTGCAAAAATTTAAAATCGGCTATAACCGTTATATACAAAAAAGTGTTGACTGACTATAGGTGATTTTTTTATTTATTTATTTTTTTGTTCGTTGTATAAATTAAAAATTTCAGTCCATTGATCTGCTGATTCAATCTCAAGACTAGATCATATAGTACTATAGTTTTTATTGTTTTGTTTTTATACAGGATCTTATAAAGGTCGTTTGTATATATATATATATATATATATTTGTATTTGTATTTTAATAGAAGATACTAAAATACTCCTATATATATATAGCATTTCCAGAAGATCTTCTAGATATTCAATAAACTATATGAAACTGATAGAAAGCTTTGCAACAAAAAAAAACTATCTTCATTATGACTTCTATTTTTTTACTTTGAAGATAGAATATATTTTATATTTATAGACTTGGAATATAGTCAACAAGCACGTGGAATATAGTCAACATCTACAGATATATTACCTTCTTCAAGTAGTTTAATGTCTAAAGGCGTTTCATACTTTTAATGTAAAAAGGTGGTCCCGAATAAAACCTCTCTATTTTTTGGTATTTTAAGCGATTTAATTCGTATTTCCAAACGAAACGTGACAATGTTTTTAACGTAGCCACCGACCCAATTTCGGTAGTTTTGTGGTTATGGGAGCATTTTCCAACAGAAGGGGCAGTAAAAACTCAGTTGCATAATATTTTCCTAATCCCCCTCATTTAGGTCGTTGAAACATTTTCTAGCCGAAATTGATGCAAATTTGGCATTTCGGGTTTTGGGTGGAATAAAAAAACCTTTTTCGTGAACAATTTTTAATATATGTTCATTTTTTTTTTTTTTTTTGGTATAGCCCCCAAATTAAAGGCTCACCCATGATACAATAAATAGGTAGTCCATTTAGAGCAGCTGGTGTCTCTATTAACTGTCAAAGTGCGTAATTTCTACTTAAATTCGATGTGCAGTCTTGCCAACCATGTGAAATATTATAAGGAAAAATTTGACAGATAATCGAGACAAAACAAAGGTTTTTGTTTTGATACATCACCTTATTATTGCATCATGGGCTCACCCCATTTTAAATATTGTAATAATGCCAGCTATATTTTCCAACCAAAGTGGCAACAAATCCTATCCAAATTTTCCAAAATAAGTTTTTGTAATTTGGTGTTCTCAGTTTTAAGACCTATGAAGTTATATATTAGAGATAAGTAAATCGATCTTCGACTAATCGACTTTTTGTATAGAAAAGTTGACAGATGGTCGAGACAAAAAAAGGTCTTGGTTTTGATACACCACCTTCTCGACCATCTGTCAAACTTTTCCTTATAATATATCACATGGTTAGCAGCATTGCACATCGAAATCAAGAAAAATTTACGCACTTTGACAGTTAATCAAGACATCAGCTGCGCTAAAAGGACGAGACAAAAACATATGTTTTTGTTTTGATACATCAACTTATTATTGCATCATGGCCCCGACCATGGCACAATGAATAGGTAGTCCATTTAGCGCAGCTGATGTCTTGATTAACTGTTAAAATTGGTAATTTCTACTTGCATTCGATGTGCAGTGTTGCCAACCATTTGAAATATTATATGGAAAAATTTGACAGATAATCGAGACAAAAACAAAGGTTTTTGTTGGTATACATCACCTTATTATTGCATCATGGCCCCAACCATCTGTTTGTTCTAGTAATATTTCACTTGGTTGGCAACATTGCACATCGAATTCAAGTGGAAACTACGCACGTTAACAGTTAATCGAATTGTCAGCTGCGCTAAATGGACTACCAATTATTGTGCCATAAAGTGTTCGATTGTCACTTTTTTCTCATCCTAACAACCGATTAGGAAATTAACTACATTGAGATGAATCTTCCTAATTGAAATTGTATACCAAAAGGGATTTTGAGACCTTGCATCCAGGACTCACAAGCCATCTTGTACTGATCATGATGCAATAATAAGGTGATGTATCACAACAACAACCTTTGTTTTTGTCTCGATTATCTGTCAAATTTTTCCATATAATATTTTAAATGGTTGGCAACACTGCACAATGAATTCAAGTAGAAATTACCCACTTTGACAGTTAATCAAGATATCAGCTGCGCTAAATGGACTACCTATTCATTGTGCCATGGTACTGATGTTCTTGTATTAGATTTTGAGAACCCTATTCAAAGTAGTGACGACAACTTTTCACGCCTTAAATTGGTTTGCTGTACTCTCGGAAGACTGACATTTGAACTTGATAAAGTGAGGGAGCAATGTTTCATCAACCACGGTACAATAATACAAGATAGGGCAACTTGAGATGAATAACCAAATAGCAACTATGTAGGTAGTGGTTTCATCTGTCAAATATAAAAAAAAAAAAACATACACAAAATGTGTTTGTATTTTTGTATATTTTTTTAATAAATTACTAAATCTTTAACAATGTAATTTCATTTAAAATTAGATTACATTACTCGGTTTTCGGAACTAGGTTTTCGGTATTTTAAAAGTCAAAAATGAAGTACCTGCAATTTAGTATTTGGGATTTATAAAGTCTAGAAGACTTCGTCGACATAAAGTCCATTCAAATGTCAAGCCGCATTTCATATAATTTGAAGGTGTAAATTGCATCTTCAAATAGAATTAACTGTATGGGCGCGTTTAGACTACTAAATCCACTCGATCTCAAACGTAAATTCCATAACGTATACGTCACGTTAATCCGCTTCACAAATCAAGTGGAATATTTTTGACTTATACGCAATGTAATTGACATATGAGATCGAGTGGATTTCGTAAATCTAAACGTTGTCTAAGTCGGGTTACCATATAACAGAATCAGTAGATTTTCCGTATTTTAAAAGTTCTAGTCTAATTTTCCAACAGAACTGCCCAGACATTGTCCTTAAAATGTTATATATCCCTTTTTTAATATTTGGAAGATCAAATCGAATTGGTTTTAATACCAAATATGACCTTTTCGAACTACCGAATACGTTTGTGTAACAGTTCATTTATGAGCTGAACATTTTCGGTAAGATGCCTTTTTTGGTAGAAATTTGTTTCCTACAAATCGAAGACAAACCAAAAGACGTCAAAGCAAAACAGCTACTTAACATCTATTAAATATTCATAAATAATTATAAATTCTTAAAATGAATTACTGTAAAAAAAACAAAATTTTGTAAAAAGTTCTAATGTGAATACATGACGATTTATACAAACCATGTTTGGTGTAAATGTTCTTTAAAAGATCTATTGTATAAAAAATGAAATACTTCGTATATAAAATCTGAAAATATAAACTTTTCTATATTTATTCAGAAGTTCTGTAATTCTATATATGGTGTATTTTCTGTAGCTGAGCTAGTATTGTTTTGGTTTTCGATATTAAAGTCATTTTTGCCAGATTTTTTTTTTATAAATTATGGTATATAATTGTTTTTATATATATTTTTCTGTTTCTTGTGCTTATACAGCAACACCAAATACAAAATTAGCTAGCAATGGAAAGTTTTCTAAAGAACAACTATTCTAAATAAATTTAATTATAAATTATAAAAAATAAGTAAAATATATAACAATATAAATAATTTTTATTTATTACATCCATACAAACAAAACATTTACTCATTACATGCATATACTCTATGTGACACATGGAATGAAAAGTCCTATCCATAGTGAATTGAATCACTATGGTATTAACAGATGTACTTCAGACTATTTGCAAGACATTCAACCCGTTAAAATCCACTCATTTTCGAAATCGAGGTATAATGATAAAATGTTGGCGGTCAGCTGTTATCTGTTTACGCATGTGTTGTTTTGAAACGAAATGACATTTTTGAAAACAACAAATTTTAATTGTAGCGTATTTTTATACCCTTCACCACACTGTGGTACAGGGTATTATGTCTTTGTGCATATGTTTGTAACAGGCAAAAGGAATCGAGATAGACCCATGGTTCCTTTTGGGAATATGCATAGAATCACTTTCTAAGTCGATTTATGCATGTCCGCCCGTCCGTCCGTCTTTTGATGTTAAATTGTAAACAAAGTACAGGTCGCATTTATGATCCGATTTGGATGAAATTTGGCACAGATCTCTTATTTGGCCCAAGGACGAACCCTATTGAAATTGGAAAAATCGGTTAAGATTTAGATATAGCTCCCACATATATTTTCGTCCGATTTAAGGTAAATGGTGTACCAAAGTACCTATATATCTTTCGATTTGTACTAAATTTGGTATAGCCTACTGAATTAGGTCTAGAATGATATATGCCATATATAGTTTCGCCCGATTTTAGGTAAATGGTGCTCCAAAGTCCCTGCAAATCTTTTGATTGGCAAGAATTTTGGCATAGCGTATTGAATGAAGTCTAGAATGATGTTATGGTTTTAAGTAAATTGTGCACTAAAGATCCATA